AAATGTTGGTCGACACTTGTGATCCCAACGAGATGGAAGTGGGGTGTGCATCTTGGTTCCTTGTCAAGCTCAGAGTTTAGGGAAGATTAAAGTAGGCTATTTATATTACTAGTTACATGACACATTCTTTTAGATACATAAGTGATGAAAGGGAATTAACAGCTATGTGGCAAATCAAATCAAGTCAGCCCCAGGATTAAAAGATGACTAAACTGCCTTATCGCTTTGTGTAACTAATACCTTTTTCATATAGAAACAATTTTATGGTGTCTTACAATTATGCTATTAAAAATAAAATCTGCTAAATTATAGTTTAAAACACAGAGAAATCTGAATGCAGTTGTCGGAAACACAGCAGAGGGACAGAAAATGAAGACAAAGACCAGTCGCTGGTCTTTGTCTGATGTGATCTTGGTTCATGACGAGTCATAAATCTTGACACCCAGCAGACATATATAAACAGTGTGCACGTTGCGTGAAGCAATCAATTTAAAGGGAATTACAGAGCTCACTGATTACCATCAGAGTCTATTAAAGTAAAATAGCACTCCAATCAAAATGATTTAGGGATTTGGGTTGAGATGCAATTCCTTTTGCTGCAAACACATGCACGTATGCAGTGGTGTGCACACACAAGGACGAGCGGATGCATTGGTTACACAGTTCTTCATACCAAAAGCATAAGAATAAGAGTGAAAAATAAACATGGGGAAACTGAAATGGAGTGCACTCTAATGGCCCGAAGATAAGAATTAGGAAAAGCGGGAGGAGGGAGCAGCTGCTTACGCACACACACAAACACACAGACATACATAAACAACTCCAGAAATTAATTGCTGCATATCAGGCTGCATCTATGTCATATATCAAAAGATTTTATTACTGTAGTTGGAATATACTCTTACTGCCCGAGCCAAGAACCATAAGGAATATGTTAATGTCTGCTTCAATGAAGCTGCAAGACCATTATAAACCATACACACACTTTCTTTTAAGCTACCCAGTTCAAGAAACCAAGGTCAAAGTACAATCTGCAACAATATTCAAAATACACCAAATGCACAGCAACATCTGATGCTGAAAAATCTCAGAAAGTTATAACCAATAATGTATTCAACTAATAAACCACATCTGCAAATAATATTTTAATAGGGGCATGCCATAGTAGACTAGAGACCAATCGTCTGATTTAACATAGTTTAAAAAAAGCCTGACTGCAAAGGATAAGTTTTTTAAAACAACAAAGCTGAAATGGATTCTGAAGTGCATCATTTTTTATTACACTGTAAAACACCAACAATCTCTCAAAATGTAGATTCCCTACTGTCAAAATCCCACTTATATGACAAAATACACATCCATGTCAATATTTCTGGAGCCCAGTGATGCAAAAGCTGACAGTCTAGGGTTCATATATTGCGTTTTATCCAACTTTAATGGAGTGACACATCGTGCTCACCTCCCCATTTTTTGCTTGTCAGTCATCTTTACTGCAATGAATAAAGCTTTGCGCTGGTACAAGCTGTCACTCTGCCACTCAAATGCCTAAAAAAGACTTCATGTCACGATTCAGGTGGATGTGGGGAGGAATTCCAGTGTCTCATTTGATTTTTTTTCTTTCTAATCTTTCATTTTATGTGGGCTGTCTGTTATCTCCCAAAGGTGGAAGTCACATTTTAATTAGGTCTCTCCTTGGTTTGCAGTTTATCTTTGCATCTCCCTGTCCTGTGTGCTCGTCTTCTGCATCTTGTGGGTTTTGCTTCTTTGTCAGAGGCTCTCTCACAGTCATCATTCCTAGTCGAAACCTCACATACATACCAACCCCTAACCCCTGCCACACACACGTGCATCCTGCTCATCTTGTGCCACCTTTTCATTCTTTAACTGCTCCATCTCCTTTCACTATCTTGCTCTCCTGCTGCTGACAACAAAAAGCTCCCTGTCTCTCAAAAAATAGTGTTTTACAGATGGGAATAGCACAATAAACAGCCACAACAACAGAAACAAAGGAGAAAAAATGCATGCATTCTCCACCCGATGTGCACCAGAAAAAAAAGAAGAAAAAAATGAAAATTGAAAATGGTCAGCTACCAGCTCCTTGGTGACCATCCAATCTGTATATGAAATGACTAAATATTTTTAATGGGCTGTTAAGCAATCCCTGACCTCTGAAGGGCCAGGCAGAAAGGCAGTATTGGCAAGACTCATCTCATTCTGCATACCTACAGCCAACTGCATTTTTGAAGAATGATGTCACTAATTSACACAAACATTTCCAATAGAGATGAATAAACTAACTAATGAGACCCAACCCAGCTGTCAAATAAACACTCAACGTATCACAATGCAAGATGCTTTACTAATAATAGAACGTTGTCATCTGCTGTTATAGCGTGACAGTGACACATTTTAGCCTTTGATCCCACAATAGGCTTTTATAGCTCGTTGTTTAAAAATATAAATATATATTATTTTCTACTTAACACGCACAGCACAGTCAGGATGACAATATGTTTGTGTAACTTTTTCGCCTTCTCTTTAACTTTTGCGTCAATGTTGACCTTCACTTCTGTCTATTCTTAGATAATCTGAAACTACTTTTAAAATGRATATGTTGTTGAGATGCAGACCCTATTGAAGCAACAAATTAACGAGATACAATTATAATAGGAAGGGCAAGGTGTTGAAAAACACTGAAATACCAGCATGTATATTGACACTGTTTTTATTCTATTTTTAAAAACAGCAGGAATGTTTTTGATCAATTAATACTAGTTTTGTATTAAAGCTGATTGGATGTTTTCAGTCTTCAAAGGCCAAATTCGAAGGCTGATTATGTCATAGCGATGTGCCAAAGTCCAAATTTAAAGGCTCCTCCAACTGCGCCCGACAAATGCAACCTCCTTTTTTCTCAATTTAAGGTACAGGTTTTGTTTATCCTTCCTAGCTGACTCTATCTAAAGATGCATCGCGGTCCAGCCAGGTGATTATTTTGCTTCAGACAAAGCMAGAGTCTGAAGTAAAGTTTTAAATAAAAAGAAACTGGCAGTACAAAAGTTGAATGTTTAAAGCAATTAGGCTTTTTTAATATTATTCTGGTCAGAAATGATTGTAAACACACTTGTTTGACTAAATAACCAAGCTTGTCTGGTGGGTTCCTTATTCTATTGCTTCTATGCTCATTTTGTCAATTTATATTATTAAAATATTAATATGTTACAGTTGATAAGTGACAAGACTTAGGTAAGGGTCTCTTTGTTCTGGTTTTTGCAGTCCACAAAGGACCAAGACAGCATACAGCCTTTGACAAAGCTCAGGTTAGAGTTTTTATTTTTATTTTTTTTCTGTCAGGATCAACAAGCTAACAGCTAGTCATAGCAACGCCAAGACTAATATACATTTCTGACATTTTAAAACACCAATTAAAAAAAATCATACAAAAAGTATGCAACCATTTTTATGCTAATTTACATCACCATTAGATTAACGTTACACAGTTACGCCAGCAGAAGCATTACAATATTCCTGTGCTGCATGCTGCACAAGAAGTGTTAACTGGTGCCACCATTATTTACACTTGCAAGAAAAGTACAGATTTCTATGCAAACAAAACAAAATGTATGGTAATGTAAARATGCATAATAAATTGTTTGCATGAATCACAAAGTTTTTTATTGTATTTATTTTTTTAACAAAATTGTTTTGAAAGGATATAAACAGGCTTAGGTTTTGATAATGCTCAGACTAACCYTTAGCTGGTCCATCAGCACACAAAACAAACAAAAAAAAATGTTGATGTCTTATATGTGTTGGAGATTAGGCTGTGGTGATCCTTGTGAAACAAGTTGACTCCAAATGCAATCACTTAAAGATGTACATCCAATGATTACTTTCTCAGAGTTCAAAAAAACCCGTCCACTGGTTTGTAATAATTTGCTAACAGATAGACAAATAAAGACATACACAGACTCAGGCACATACAGTACATTGTTTCCCATCTTTAATGGCAATCCAAAAAATAAATAATTATTTTTTTCTTTTTAAAATACCATAATTATCATTTTAATCACCTTATAGTGGTAGTTGGGATTTTATTTTATTTTTGTCAGCCTGTGAATTGATTACTGTGTGTAGAAATCCCAGCACCTGCAGACCTAAGCTTCTGTTTAACTTGCGTCCACCTTGAGGCAGGGAAATACTCAGAGCAAACATAGTGTTGCCTGCTCAGATGTCATGGTTCAGATTTATTTAGAGGGCAAATGCTCCATTAGTTGGMTTTTTTTTTAATTAGCGCACTTGTGAGAGAGGGTCATTAAGGATGTCTGACAGGAGACCTGCTGATGAGGGGGATGGAGGCACTGCTTGCACCAGCCCACACTCTCACACACACACACACACACACATACACACATATTCCCACAAGCACAAATCTCCTTAACAACGGACAATATTTCACACAGTCAACGACAAACGCATGCAATAAGTCAATGCCACAGGTGAAACAGTGACTTCAGTCCAAAATGGGCACTGAGCAAAATCCAACACAAATGCCTATATTACCAAATATTAAACATGCAAAGAATKTATTACAGACATTTACATTCAAATTAAAGTATTGGAGATTTATTGAATGACTGTGTTTCACCCATCACCTTCCATGCCAGCGRATTGTAAGATATCATGTTGGCAAAATATATAATTTGATTAAACTTTAAAAATAACACAGCYTTGACTTCAAATAATTAACATAAAGAAAAACAAACATCTTGTGCAATGTGTTACTGCTCAGGATATGTGTTGGGGATCCATCTCGGCTGCTAACACACCAAATGTCAGGTCAATATATATGAAACTGGTTGAGTTATAGATGTGTTTTAATGTCTATAACTCAGGATGGTTGCCAAAGTCAGCTATGGCAGCCATCTTGAAATGAGTGGCTACATTCAGCAAGATTCCTTAAAATATTTGCCAGTTTGCCAAATGCAGTATTGTCACTGTACCGTTTTCTGGGTGCTCTGTTTCTCCGATGCTGCCATCTGGGGTGGTTCTCTCGTAATGGTCCTCCGGCAGGGTGAGGGGTCCGATGCGAGGGCCAGATGATGATTTACTGCTGGGAGTCTCCGACTCCTCCAAGCCGCTGTCATAGTAGCTGTGCTGGGAGGCATCCTGCATGTCCTGCACAGGGTTGGTGGTGGAAAAGGTCACTCTGCGATGGGGATGCTGAAAGCAGAGAGATGTCAAAAATATACTTTTTTATCACCAAGAAAAACATTTTCCTCAAACCATACTTTCCAATTACATTTTCTTGGTGGTTGATGGGTCCCTGTTCCACCTTAAATCGCACACAATTTAAGATTTGTGTCTGAATATTTCTGTCTCTATAAAGTTCACTCTCCAAAAGTTAGAAAATAACATCAAATATTAAACACATTTAAATATTAAATAGTCTTTTGCTCTATTATTTTTCTGAATATTACATAAGATATAAATATATAAAGAGAAGAGGTTATTTATTTCTGTAATAACGAAAGGCAAATATGCAGCTACAGAAATAACAAAGTAAGGTATTTTCCAGATTTCATCATCAGACGTATTTGGATAAAAAAGAACAATACATTTAAACAACTCAAATGAACCTACTGATACTTTTAGTTTAGAAAAATAAAATCTGAAGTAGATATTTTGCAGGACAAACACAAGTTATTCAACAGTATTTCTTTTTTTTTTTAAACTCTGATAAAGAATTTTGGTGGGTACARAAAGTACTGTGTAAAAGTTTTAAACCACCCTAAATTCTTTATATTTTCTTTTCAAGGAGCCAGACTTTTTTTGTCATTTCTAAAAGTAATCTTGATCAATAGTTCTCCAGAATTTTTGAAGTTTTAGTCTTTCAATTTTTTTTTTCTAATTTTCTGCCAGTCATTGAAGCTGGACATGACTGCATATTGTGCAGTGTATGCTTAAGAAAAAAAAAAAAAAAAAAACCTGGACAAGTTGGGGACAAAAGAAGGGCCAAACCTATTAAAACTTTCACTGGCAACTGAACACAATAAAAAGTCATGTCTTTCTGAAATAGAAGAAAAAAAATCCATCAACATCCTGGCATTAAACCTGACATGTGCATCATTTTACAGTTGATAATTTACTTCATGTTGGCTTTTCACCCAATAGCTCTTTGGGGATTACCTTGTTGGTGCTAAAATGACATTCCATGTTTGTCACAGAGCATTAGATTTGGTAGAATTTTTTTTCTCTTTTTATGCCAAGTTGACTGATCTGTGTGAACACAGGACTGGTTCAACCCCTGATCTTAGAAACCTTCTCATGGCAAAATAACTCAGAATAGATTCATGTAGCTCAGACAAAACAAGCAAATATGCCTCTGAAAGTTGGCAAGTACTAGACTGAAAAAGAGTGAAATAATAATTCTCACAATCATGCAGTCTGACAGCTTGGATGCAAAATGCCTCAAGGTATTTGCACATTACAATACATTAACCTGTCACAAATCAAAAAAAAAATGTGAATCTACTTGTCTTTTCATCCATTATATTTTCCCCATGTCTCCCTTTGAGGGTCATGGGGACCACTGGTGCCCATGTCATGCAGTCACTGCTCGATGGGTGGGGTACATCCTGGACAGGTCTCAAGTCCATTACAGGGACACATTGATAAATGAGACAAACAACCATTCACTCTCTCACTCAAACTGGAAACCCACATGTACAGAGAGAACAAGCAAACACTACTCAGAAAGGTCCCCAGCCGGGATTCGGTTTGGCATCCATCTTGCTGTGAGACAACAGTTATACCAACTGAGCCACCATGCGGCCATATCTACTTGTACTTTATAAAATTTGTGAAAACACATTGGTAGCACTTTACATTACAACTTTGAAATATCATGGGAATAGTGTGTTAAGAGTGGGATAATAAAATGCAATGGGAAGTTACTCTTGTGTTATTTCCAAAGTCACAATTAGATAATATCATGTCCATTCATTCATCCATCCAATATCTTAACCCACTTCTTCCTTTCAGGGTCATAAGAGTCACTACCCATATCAAGCAGATGCTGTGAGAGGGGTGTGGCACAAACTGCACACACACTGGGCAGGTTGCAAGTCCATCACAGGGCCAWTACAATATAGTCAATATAGATAGACTATAATATATAATGTAGACAAATAATTCCAGTTTTACCAAATATGTTGCTATTATTATAAAATCATTCTTTGCCAGGTAAATACATAGCTAAAACTTTTGTAACAACATAATAGTATATATTACATTCCTAAAACCATATTATTACCAGCTAAACATTCTTTCTTGCTAGGTACTTTTTAAAGTACATAACACTCTTTTATTATATTCATAACACCATATCATCATCACACCGCATTGCCATCTTATTGTCAAGTTGTGATGCAAATTGCTTTCTTTCCTGGAGCAAACAATGATCCTGATAAAGACCAAGTTTGGTCTCAAAATATCGGTGAACGTTTTTTGTTTTTTTGTTTTTTACCCCAACAAACACCACACAGTGCATTTGATTTTGATTTTTGTTTTTTGCTGACCGCTTCCGTTTTAGACTCAACAGCAATTCCAAAACCTGCTTGTCTTCAATACGAAACACCCTGGTATCAATCTTGAATGGCTTTATTTTCATTTGTTTCAAAATAAAAAAAATATATATATATATATATTCATATGAAGACTGTGTGCAAATGCAAGTAATAATGTAATAGTATATAGTTTTTTTTATTTTTATTTTTTGCCATTTCAACTATTTAACCCTATTGTAAAGGAATTATGAACAATATTTTAAAGCAAACAAATAATACCTACTTAAATTTATGACTCCAGATCCGAATGTGATTAAAAATGAGCTGTAGAGGGTGGTGTGAGAACTGAGTGCATAAAACAAWTTTTTATTGCTGTTATTATAATCATTAGTCAGACAGCGGTTTCATTTTCTAAATARGTCCCCAGCAAATGAATTCTGATGGCAATGATTGGTGCACTAATCAGTAGACCCAGTAAGGTCCTTTCCTTCTCCCATATTTTAACATTCTCGATGCTTGGCATCTTGTGTTTAATCCTGCAAACAACCAGACAGTATTTTCACTATTTTGCCAAACTCCTAAGAGGCTATGAATAAAGCTAACACAAAAGGACAAAACAGAACACTGAAATGATACTTTGCAAGCATTAAAATATGTTATTGTAGCTGCTTTTATTGATTCATGCTGATGCGTTTTGATCAAAAATTTAAAAAAAATGTGCAAACGAATGAATAGACATACTGATGAATTCCTGAATTTGGTTGCGAGAAGAGGAGCAAAGCGGCACACAATAAATCATTGGAGATCACACCCTTTATCAAATTAAATGGCTTGTAAATACAGTTAGGAGACCATTAAATTTCCTCATCCAAAGATCAGTTTACTAATGGCTACTTACCACCGATTCACAATAGAAAGATGACTCCTTCTGTGCGTTCGTCCTGTCTCACCCCCCACCCCCCACACCACCTCTCACATACACACACAAACACACAGGAGTGCCTCTCGTAAAAGTCAGGAAAGCACTGATACAGCAGAACGGGCCTGCCTCTGCCACACAGCTCCGATCAATACAACCGGCCTGCACTTTTTACCATTCAACCACTTTTCAAGCAAACAGCAAAGAAAAAGAAAGCCTTTTACTGGAAAGCTTAGGTAGGAGCCATCAACACTCTAATATCACCAATGAGCTTCACAATGTAAACCTGTTTGTCTTTTCATCACTTCTAAAAAAGTGGGTTTTTTTGTTTTGTTTTTTTAATTTTATTTTTCCTTTAGCAATAGTGCTTTTCTTATATCTTCAGTGGAAAAAAAATGATTATTACAGTTCAGAAGTAGAGTTTCTAAGGCAATAAACTGCACATAAAGTTGAGGGGAAAAGGGAAAAAATGTCTTAGATTTTGTAGTACTTCACTCACATTAAAGAGAACTCAAGCTACAGTTTCAAACAACAAATTCCATTTACGTAATAGAACAAGCCATTTGATTTTTTTTCTCTGAGTTATTTGCATTCAGGGTGTGCAAATAACTAAAAAAAGAAAACAAATAAAAAGAAGAAAAAGATGGCAGTGAGACATTGTGTCTTGTTTTTTTTTCTCTATTTTATTCCATTAAACATGCTCTTTGATTGGTACACAGACACTGAAAACATGTTCAGCTGCTTATTAGTTCTGCTTCAAACCAAAGAACGCACTATAATACCCAAGCAGAGCATGTGCTGTAGAGATCAATCTGCGCTTTATTAAAATACCACAACTCAAGCTGAAAACAATAAAAAAATATAAACACACCTCCACCACATTAAAAGAAAGTCAGTTTATCCACTTCTGCTGGTATTTTCTTTGCATTGGCCAAAGGCAAAATCTGAGCAATAATGTTTTTGCATSTGTTTGGTTGTGCARAATATGTTTGACTGTAGCATTAGCAAATTATCTTAAGGAGCTAGTGGACTTTTTTTTTAAATTAAACACCTTGAAAGTAATGACTGATAAACACTTACGATTGATTGACTTTTGGAGTCAATCAAATTCAGCTGATTTGAACTTTTATTAACTGGCATTTTATAAAGTATGTGAAAGGTTTTGCATAGTGTCCTGAGATGACTTTTGCTGTAAACTGGTTCTATAAAAATAATCTGAAATGGAGTGAATTATCAAACATAAAAATGTCTGTGACTCAGTCAGTTTTATAGATATTGAGCTCKCACTGAATGTGCTAGTGGCTGAACCTGAGTCCCAACACAAACTCTTAGTGCTAAACGTCCTCATGAAATCCTTGATGGGTTTTAAAGCTGCAGTACTGAGTTCTGGGAAAACTGAAGCTTTAAACAAGGAAAACCTTACAAGTTCCTCCTCCTTGCTCCCCGCTCTGCTACAGCTCTCCTTCTATAGCTCCTACCCCCACAGCAAAGCCTGCTGTGAACGCACAGCTTATTGAGCAGTAGGGCACTGAGATAATATAGCACATTCAGAACTCCCAAAAATTGGCAGCTTTCTGGTTACAATAGCGTTTTTCTTCACCATTAGCACAGCTGTAGCACCCCGGCAATCTTGGGCTTGAACGATGGTTTGTATTGCACGGGGGAAGGGCGTGAGCTACAGGAATGTGATTGACTGGTAAGACATATTCCTCATGGCTCTGATAGGCTGTTTTTGA